ATGTTATGTCTTATAGATAGCCACCCATTCTGTTGTCTGTTACCTGTTGCCTATTACTACACATTTTCGAAAATTTTCCTTTAAAATTTCTTGGCCTTCTGGTTTCCTAGTGGTGGAAAACGATTAGTACCCATGAACCACTCATGAAGATTCGCAACAATATTAGGAGCAAGATAAATACCAAGCCTTTAGGAAATACGTCTTACATTTAGATAATAGATAGCCTTTCGAGAGGTCGTCATACCCTGGACGGACCGGCCCCTTAGTGCTGTATCTTTTGCCATTTGCCTCTACTGTGTTATATTACCCCATTGCAAAGCGCGTGGTAAGTCGCCACTTAAAGGTCAGTTCCGGATTAGAACTAGTAGACCGGCCGTCGTTACAATGGCGCGTATCATTAACAATATTTCGCTAGTAATTGCAGAGGCGAGATGAAAGTCTGCCCGGGGCGAGGTGTCGCCTGTCACACGCAGCGCACTCGATAACGAATAGTGCTGCCCCACGCCTCCTTAGCGTATCGATGCGGGGTCTATCGTTATCGATATGAAATTTCCATACGAAACGTAGAAGGTGGAAGTTACGATCGATTGTAGCGATATAGTTTTACCGTTTATAGGCCGCCCTAGGCTGTTTTTTAAACGTTATTACTTGAGAAGAAATTAGTGCAAACACGTCTATCGATACCACGGAAATGGAAATAACATCTGTCATGACGTACATATATGTACAGGTAGCACTTTACGAAGAATAGTACCTTTAATAACCTGACTCCAAAGCCAAATAGAATAAATTCATGTTTCAATTCAACAATACAAGCAACTTGGTGGCCATCCTTTTTATGACAAAGGGTAGGGTAGGGTAGGTTCCCCTTTTCTATAAATAAAATAATTTTAAATAAGTTTTTCCTATGATATAATGGCATTAATAAACATAAATGGATTCCTCAATATTATTTAATTATGCATAAATAAGAAAAAATCCCATTCTTATATTAATTATATATATAAAATTTTAGCGACACACAGGCACATCACTACAAGTGTGCAGCGGAGGGCCCGTGTCGCCAGCACGCCGTCCTCACTTGGCACACCACTAGCTTTTCGACAAAACTTTTATTTATTCTGTCAGCGCCAGAGTTACTCGGCACTTTATATATATACGGAGAAATAGATCAAAGCAGCGCTCTAAGTCAGGCCGAGATCATTAGGAAATATGAGAGGGATCCATAGAGGGCATCGATTGAACGTGCCTTTGAAGAAGTAATTTTCTTTTCGAAGTAACAACAGGTCGTATTTTTGCTAACGATAAATAAAACCGACTTCAAATAGTGCGCTCTGTACTCATTTTATAATTTATTTTGAAGAGTTCCCTACGTATCTCCGGAGCCCAAGACCCGACACCAATGAAATTAACATGGGACCACATGGGAAGCACCAGCTTTCGAATAAAAAGAGAATCATCACAATCGGCCCACTCAGTCGAATGTTCTGAGGGAACAAACAAAAAAAAATACAGTCGAATTGAGAAGCTCCTTTTTTGCAGTCGGTTAAAAAGCGACGCCCTGTCCGGGTGAGCTATTGCGGCTCAATTGTTAAGCGATTTTAAAAATTCTTTCTTGCATTGTGTTCGGTTTGGCTTCCTTAATTCCATTGGTGCTGGACCTTGAAATCCGGGATGTGAAAAGTTGTCAAGCGAGCAGACGGTTTACCTGATGTTAAGTGAATACCGCCGCCCATGGACATCTGCTACACCTTAGGGTTACAGATGCGTTGACAACCTTTTGAAAATTGGGCTCCGGCCACCTGACTCACCAGACGAAATGCGAAAGTATTATACTTCCACTTTACGCCGGTTTTCTGTGGGGTCGTGGTACTTACTCGGACGAGCCTGCCCATTCGTACAACAGCCGAGGCTGCTGCGTTGCCCTACCACCGTAAACGTAATATAAGGGAACTCCACAAAATTTATCTCTAAAATATTTTTGAAGTCGTTTTTGTGTTTTTAGGGTTCCGTACCTAGAGGGTAAAACGGGACCCCATTACTAAGACTCCGCTGTCTGTCTATACGTCTGTCTATGGGTCTCCCGTACAGCAAGCAGTAATGATTAATTTTTGCCGTTTTTAATGGTACGGAACCGTTCGTGCGTGCGTGACTCTCACTTGGCCGGTTTTTTTTTTCAATAAAATTGTACATGTTTACATAGCGTTAAGAATTAACACGAGCATAAAATCAGCACGCACCATAGTCCTATATACACATTTGATCTTGGTTAGCAACGTGTCGTTTTTCATTATGATAGACCCTTTGAGCCAGGTTCATATTTTATAAACTTCCTATTTTACGTACGCTGCTTTTTATGAGAAGGGAAGCTAGCAGCTGGTCCACCTGATGTTAAGTGATTTCCTTTGCGCATTGACATATACCCATAGTACATGTAAATGCGCAAATCGTTACGACTAAGCCCGCGAGAAAAGCAAAAGTATGATACTTCTGTGAGGCCGGGAAAACACTTTTGCGCTACGTGCTCAGTTGGAACCCAGTTAAATATTTCGGGACATATTTTAACACAACTTTATCTAGTGCCAAACCAAGCAAAGATTGTACTATGGATATTAGGTAACTGTATCACATATTTATACGTGTAAATAAACAATATAGATATATATCTCTATTGTTTATTTAACATAGTGTTTTTCTAGTGTCTGTATATACAGTATATACATAATTCCATTCACAATAATTTTTCCAGTAGCGGGGATCGAACCCACGCCCTCTGGCGCAAGAGACAGGGTCAGTATCCACTGCGCCAATTAGTTTCACTGAGCACAAGACCGTTCAAAGTTTCCGCATATCGTGTGAACCCCAGATAATGAACCGGCCTGTACAAACACGACGATAGGAGCGACGAAACGCATAGTCACGCCCCGTTTGTATTTCGATATTCGATCGACGAAACCACACAAAGGCCTAGGATTTACGTTCGGTCTAACGCCACAATAGGTCCGTTGTCTAAGGGCTATCTGTCGCCGCCAACAACCCGACTACATAGGTGTTTAATAACTGCAAAGAACCAGTTAATCTTTCTCTAGCAGATTAGTCGGGGAGATTGGTTATAGCTCTGTTTACCAATATGGCTCTGTAATGAGGAATGTGTTAAAAGATACTGATATTAGTCGTAGACTCACAATCGTGTACACCACGGCTTTAATTAAAAAAATCGTTATTTCGTCCATAATCAAGCTTTAATAGTTTTAAATATAATAATATCGTGCATTTAGTTTTAGCATTCCAATAACTTTATGTAGATACCGTGCTATTAAATTTTAACAGACTTTTAAATTTTTATTTGTTTAATGGTCTTTGGTAATAGAACTCTAGCTTTTGTAATACCAAATAGGATGTGTTGAGTCGGTCACCGCACTCTTAGCAACAGATAAAAGAGCAGAACTTGGGAGCCTATAAGCCATTCCACTTTGGTGAATCTACGCGTTGACTTAAGCCGGTTCGATCACAGAAATACTGTTTATTCAAAATGTTAAGGCGTGTTTATTCTCTGCGTTTCATTTGGAGGGAAAAATAAACGAAGCTTCTTCACTATTATCATATATTTTGCCATTGGCACCGTCATGCGTGTGCATTCCATACATGCAAACAAGCATACCATGTAGTCCCGTACAAACATGCCCTAAAACACGCAAAAAGGCATTGCATACCCTGTCATCCCATACAAACATAAGTAAGCCCTAAAACACTGTAACCCACGAGTTACAGTTATCTATTTATTTTTAAGTCAAAGAAGCAAACAACATCTCACAGCCTACTCAACGGCCACTTTCGATATTTTACACATTTAATTGACCTGTAATGTTATTATCAATCACTTAAAAAGATTCGGTAAGTTTTTCTTGTGCACATTCTGTCTGAAGTCTCGCTGCACGCCTCTGACATAGAGGGGCATGTTTGGTGTCTGTAACTACAAGATGTGGGTGCATAGTTTTTCATAAAAATCTGTCCAACACAAACTTGGAAGGCTGAAATTAATGCTACACCTGTAGTTGGAGTTGTTAATGGTGATTACTGACCACATTTTAGTGAGCGCTTGATCATATTAGCCCGCCAATGTCATGGCCATACCGAATTTATTTTGGTAACGCTTGAGCTCACTCGTCCGCTGTTTTAGTGGCCCCACCGCTATAAAGCACAGCGGCGACAAAAGCAAACTCAACTCGATGGATTCCGTGCTCAGGCATACGGCCGCCCGTTTACGCGCCAGCCTTCGATTTAGATTTGTTAATTCATTTCAATATTTTCCAGTTATTTACCTAAACTGACTGTGGTATGTTGACTGATGCTTTGCACCTCATTTTCCCATAAAATGCATTTATTACGTTTAAACTTGGGTTAGCAGGTGGTTCACCTGATACTAAGTGTTTACCGCCGTCTATAGATATCTGCAACACTTGAGACGTTGCACATTCTTAGCCAATCTTCGAATAAGCGGGTCATACTGCGCTATACTAAACGAAACACTAAAGTATCGTGGTATTCCTCAGATGTATCCGTCCATTTGTAAATCAACATTAGCTATAATAAGGGTATTCATATACTCAATGCTGAAAGATTTGTTTTCAAACAAGAAAACGGCAAAATAATTCGAGATTAGTCCGAGGAAAAACCAATAGAATTATTATTTCATGACAAATTAGACTGTCGTTTTGACTGTTTCCAAAACGGTAAGTTTGAATGATCTGAAATTATGTTCTTGCATTTTAAAATTTATTTTATCTCGATACGCGAACAGGCTGATATTTTCTCACGCCTTGGATAAGCCCGACGACAAATCGACGAGACTAGCTTACTGTCTAATCCGTTAAGATAAAAGACTTCAGGGCATACATATGCCTCTGGTGACCTCCAGGGGAATACATATTCCCCATGGAGGTCACCAGATCGTTTTATAAACGTATGAGCGAAAAAACTCAAGGTCTGTTCTGTTGCAGACAGTGGCAGCGGTAAAGAAAGACGATCACCGGAGCAGGACGAGGCTAGGGTGTCCCCAACTCCGGGCCCGCCGAGCCCTCAGAACAACGGCACTGCTGGTATGTGAATTTCTAGTATTGTATATCTATTGAAGAAGCATCAGCTATCTCGGCCAACATCCGGGAGAATAAAGACACGCGAGGACTTGTTACATAACAGCCACTCTTTAATAAAAGGGACTCCGGCTACCTCACTCACCAAAGGAAACGGAGAAGTATAACACTTTCACTCCACGCCGGTTCCACTTCCGGGTAAATATCACGACCGGTCTTCTCTCGCAGAAGACCGGCCGTGATATTAACCCGGATGGACCTGCCCATTCCTGCTACCGAGAACGGTGTTGCGTGGCCCTACTACGAGTGACCAGCAAACTTGATGGATGGCGGATGACTACCGCCTATCTATAACATTAGTTGGGTTGTAAAAGCATTGTCGGACTTTAGGAGGGACTCTGGCATCTCTCATCTTTCCCGTTTTTTCTGCGGGGCTGTGGTACCGCCCTAGTGTTACATACAGCGGCAGGCACTGTCGCGTGGCTTTATCAGCTTAAATTCTCAATGATTACTTTAATAGAAATAGGTGACATCCACAGCCAACTAAGTATGAACAATTTCAAACAATTTGTAAAAGCTGACCCCGATGACAAGGGCGTATTATAAAGTCCAAGAATACATTGAGGACAACAATGTGCGGAAATGACTCTTGCTCTACACTTGTAAGACCCCTGGCTGCTGCTGATTTTATACCTAAATAAGTTCGTGCAATTGCATCACAAAAAAAAATAACAAAAAAAGAGCACAAGACCGGAGAGTTTCTTGCCGGTTCTCCTCTGTTCAGTGAGGTCTAGTTCAGTGAACCGGTGGTAGTTTCATTTGACGTTCAATAAGAGCTTAAGTTGAGCCTCCATTGAATAAAGATATTTTGACTTTGACTTTGAACAAAAAAGAAATACTGCTATTGTTGGCCAGCCCTTTCCTCGACGGAGTCCCTGTCGCCCCCGCTCCCCGAGGGTTCGAAGGCGGCACCAGCTCTGCAGCGCTTGAGGCGCTTCCTCTCCGCCCTGCAGCAGTTCGCACCAGAGGGCAGCGCCGACACCGGCGAACGGGTCCGCCAGCTTATCTTCAACCTGGTCGTAAGTGGACAATAAAGCGGAACAGTTCCAGCTGTTTCGAACAACCGCCCGTTTCCTTTCATAAATGAATAATAAATAAATATTTTCGGCATATATTTTCAATGTCATCTGGTCCAAACTAAGCAAAGCTTGTACTTAGTAATAGGTAACTGATAAAGCTACTTTTCTTTTGTTAATAGATACATTACAGATACATACTAATTATGGATATACTCAGACGCCAGAAAACACTATGTTCATCACATAATATTCTTCCAGCAGTAGGGGATCGAACCCACACCCTCTGGCGCAAGGGACAGGGTCACAATCCACTAATTATCGTCATCATCAGTTGCTGTTGTTATATAAGAACTACATAATGGCAACATATGAAAAAACAACGCTGTGTAGAGTTAACACTTTATAGAGTTGTAGTTGTTTAGACTATCTCGGGAAAAGTATTCCTTACAGTGAACATAGGTACGCACTTAAGGAAGTTACACTTCATTCATGTTTAGCGTAATAAAAGTAAAATAACTTAAAAAAAAACATCTCTTGTGCCTGTACTCTTTGTTTGTGAAAAATTCATGAAATGCAATTGATAACGGTTAGAGCTTGGAATTATAGGTAAATGTCAAAAGTTGATATTGGTTGCCATGGTGATACCGTGAAGTATGTTGCTTCGCTACCATGAACTTCATGGCGTCGCTTTATTGGCTGTCGGTGGGCGCCACAGTAAAAATTTTACTCCCATATTTATTTCCAAAACGCGCTAAAATAAGTATGACTTAATGAACAAAGTAGTATAACAAAAATATAGGTACGTGTCTAGTATGAAAAATAGATAGTTATATTTTTTAAATGTTAAAATTATGTAATATTTACGTATTAAAATGTGTAAAGAATTATAACCCATGTATAAACGCCACTCTGCAACCATTACACCACAGTTACCTAAACCTGCAAAGTTTAAATTGTTTGTGTAGGCAGGCACCATGAGTATCGAGGAGTTTCAAGCTGGTGTACAGGACTGCACCAACTATCCTCTCCGGGCTTCAGTACCTGGCTTCCTCCGTGCTCTGCTGCCGCTCGCTCAGAGGGACCTACACTCTCGTGCTAGAAGAGCTAAGCAGGTACGATTTTAAATAGACGCACAACGGAGCATGCCACAAACTATACCACAGCCAATAACACGGACTATATACACTACAGTCTAAATTTCGATTGCATTTTAAGTAAAGAGTTTGTTCAAAAAATATTTAAAAGTATTTTACTGGATGCCACACTGCTCGTTAGCAATAGAGTTGAATATTTTTATGTCATACATCTTACAACTGTAGTATTGGAGTATAGATAGTTTTCCGTCGAACAGGAAGTATCTATATTATTATAAAACATATAAATAAAAAGCACATTAGTCATTAGATAATGTGAATAAATAATGTTTTAATATGTATGTCTTAATTTGATGACTCCGGCGACGGGGGTCGTGGGTTCGATTCCCACACGGGACAACTATTTGGTGTTTGTCCGCGTGAAAATGTTTGTAAAGACTTCCCTACAACACAGGATAATGTTATCCCAAAGTAAGGGCGATTGTGTGACAGACGCCGCTCCAGTACATCAGGAGCCATGAACACCTGGTGCTGGAGGCAGCTGGTGATGGTAGCGACATCTTCGCTCACCACCAGCCTGCGGAACCGCTAAAGCGGCGTGCCAGCGATCCGTGAGTTACCCAACAACCTTATTAACACTGAATTATTTTCAGCCTCGCTCTCTAAAGGCGATTGACGTACCGTGCTGTAATTCAAAAGTTATTTTCTTCATGTTAAAAATCGGCAAGTTAACTGGCGGTTCTCCTGATGTTAAGTTATTAATTTCTTTTTATGTGAAACGTTGCCAAGCGAGCAATTGGTTCACCTGATGTTAAGTGAATACCACCGCCAATCGACATCTGCCACACCCGAGGGTTTGCAGATGCATAGACAACCTTTTGAATATTGGGCTCCGGCCACCTCACACACCAGACGAAACGCGAAAGTATTTGTCATACTTCCACTTTACGCTGGTCTTCTGTGAGGTCGTGTGGTACTTACCTGGACGAGCCTGCCCATTCGTGCAACAGCCGAAGCTTTCTATATTCTTAAACATATACATTGTTAAGTCCTAATGGATTTACATATGTACTGTATGAAACTTTAAATTGTACATGTTTAGGGTTAAACGGAACCCTATTACTAAGACTCCGCTGTCTGTCTGTCTGTCTGTCACCAAGTATCTCATGAACCTCTTTGGGGGGTGAAGCCGTTCGCGTCCGTAGGAGCGTACTTCAATTATGATACCCTACACGTGTCCCCTGGGTAGTGCTAAACGAACGGCTATACTGGTGGTAGGCCTCGTCGTCGGCTGCCGGCTTTAAGTTACCACCCGTCAGACAAAGTCATGCTGCCAAGCGACTCGTCGCGTTCCAGCATGATGTCTGATGAAGCCGTATGGAGGATGGGTCTGTACTGTTGCCTTGTGATGAATGCCGGGTATGATGCACCAGTTTTTTCAGTGTCGGGTGCTTGCTCATGGAGGGTAGCGGGATCCAAAGAACGGTGCTCCGCTGGCCGCCCGCAGTTAGTAGGGGGCCCAAGTAGTGTGCCAGCCACACACGAAAGGCTGCCCCGCCAACTGTGCATAATCCCAGGGTGGCCTCATCGTGCCGGTTGGCGACCGGGTGAGAGGACCCGATGGCGATCCCTGGGGAGGTTCGGGCGTCCCCGCAGTCTCCAGATCAAGCCCCCTGTGATGCTGTGACTCTGGTTGCGTTGTTGGGTAACATCGCAGGGCCTCATACAACTGCCAGCCTTCATCCTATTCACTCCACAATACAAAATGAAAAGTACGAAAAAGAAAAGTAGGTTTACACAGCGGACGCACTTCCTCTCCTTACAAGTGCACCTCTCTAACATTCGAGGTCTGCACTCAAATCTCTGTTCTGTCCACCACCATCTAGAGACTGACAAACCGCATCTACTTTTCTTGACGGAGACGCAAATACGATGTCCTACAGATGCGGCGTACCTGGACTATCCAGGGTATATTTTGGAGCACCACTTCCACCAGCGTGCCGGAGTCTGTGTATACGCCCGCAATGATATCTGTTATCAGCGTCTCCGTCACCTTGAAGACGCCAGTTTCTCAACCCTTTGGGTGTTAGTGGATACAGGTGTGGAGAAAATCATCTATTCCTGTATCTATCGATCGCACAGCGGTGACCAGGAGACAACTCGTTTATTCGCTCATCTTAGCGAGGCCGCTGATGTGGCAGTCCAACGGTATCCTACCGCACAGTTGGTCTTTCTGGGGGATTTTAACGCCTGTCATCAAGACTGGTTATTCCCATACCAGAGGACCGACCATGCCGGGAGAGAGGCGTGGAACTTCGCTACCTCTCTTGGTCTCTCCCAGCTGGTGCAGCAGGCGACCAGGGTACCAGATGTGGACGGTCACATTGCCAATTGCCTGGACCTTCTGCTGACTACCGATCCAGACAGGTATAGTGTTCAGGTCTCCTCTCCTTTAGGAACTTCTGACCACTGTCTGGTGAAATCTGTGTCGTCTTATTCACTGTTGTCCACCGGATCACAAATCACAGGGTGTGCGTCGAGTTTGGCGATACAAGTCAGCAGATTGGGATGAGATGCGACACTTTTTTGCTTCTTATCCTTGGCGGCATATATGCTTTTCTTCTGAAGATCCGTCGAGCTGCGCGGAAGCCGTAACCGATGTGGTGCGTCAAGCAATGGAGTATTTCATCCCGTTTGCTGATGTACCTATCGGTGGCAAAGCTCGCCCATGGTTTAACGCTGAATGTACACAGGCTGAAAAGAACAAGCATTCGGCGTACTTATCCTGGGTTGAAGCTCGACACCGCAAAGCTTCGGACATCAACCTGAAGAAGGAAGCTTTTAACCGGGCCGCTAAGTCCTATAAAAAGACGTTGCGGCGAGCTGGATTCGACCGTATTCAACAAATTGGCACGAAGTTCTCTGCCCAACCATCTGGCAGCAGAGCTTTTTGGTCTCTTGCCAAAGCGGTCCAATCCAACTTTTGTCGGCCATCACTGCCTCCGCTGGTAAAACCGGATGGATCACTAGCACATCCGGGTAAAGAGAAGGCCGATTTATTTGCCTCTCTATTTGCCCACAATTCACGTCTGGACCCTGGGAGTAACACACCACCCTCACTCCCTCACTGCGAAACCTCCATGACGGAGGTTCGTATAAAAAACCGCGAAGTCTTAAGGGCCTTAAGGAGTCTAGACGTGAACAAAGCTTGTGGACCAGACGGTATACCAGCGTTGGTTCTGAAGGCTTGTGCACCCGAGTTGTCTCCTGTTCTGACACGTCTGTTTCGCCTCTCATTTGAGACTGGAGTAGTCCCTAAGTCCTGGAAGTTGGCGAATGTACAGCCCATTCCTAAAAAGGGTAGTCGTGCCGATCCTGCCAATTATAGACCAATTTCAATTACCTCCATACTATGTAAGACTATGGAGCGTATATTGAACGCCCGTCTCATGGCGTACCTAGAACAGAACGACCTCCTCAGCGACCGCCAGTACGGATTTCGCCGAAATCGGTCAACTGGGGACCTTCTAGTGTACGCCAGTCACCTTTGGGGCGAGGCCCTCGAGAACAATGGTGAAGCACTTGCAGTTTCCCTAGATATCTCGAAGGCCTTTGACAGGGTCTGGCACGCCAGCCTTCTTAGCAAGCTTCCAGCGTATGGCATATCTCCTGGCCTAATCGGTTGGGTGAAGGACTTTCTGAGTGAGCGGTCTCTCCGAGTACTCTTCGAAGGCTGTTCATCCGAGCCACTGACAACTAATGCCGGAGTTCCTCAGGGGTCCGTCCTTTCCGCAACTCTTTTCCTGCTGTATATCAACGATCTGCTCATGCCCGGTATCTATGGGTACGCGGACGACAGCACAGTTGTGGAGAGATACCAACCGAGTCTTAGGGTCAGTAGAGATTACATCCAGTCCGAAAGAGAGGCCATGGTAGAGCGTTTGAATCTTACATTGCAGGCGGTCTCTGAATGGGGCGATGCCAATCTTGTGGGATTCAACGCCTCCAAAACGCAGGCGTGTCTTTTTTCCGCAAAAAGGAGCCCCTTCAACTTGGCTCCTGCTTTCCAAAATGTGTCCTTGGAGTATACCGACCGCCTTCAGTTGTTGGGAGTCGAAATATCCTCAAACCTCAACTTTGGGCGGTTCATTGAGTCTAAAGCCAGGGCAGCTGCAAGGAAGTTAGGTGTCCTTGCAAAAGTGCGACGGTACTTCACACCGGGGCAGCTTCTTACGCTATACAAAGCTCAAGTCCGATCGTGTGTGGAGTACTGTTGCCATATCTGGGCTGGGGCTGCAAAATGCCATCTGGCTGCCTTGGACTCAATGGAGAGACGTGCGGAAAGGCTCATTGGTGACCGTAACTTGGTTAAAACCAACCTTACTAGCCTTGAGCACAGGCGCAGAGTAGCCAGCCTCTCGGTCTTCTACAGGATGCATTTTGGAGAGTGTGCGTTGGAGTTGCATAATTTGATTCCTCCTGCTCCTTTCCATCATCGGACAACTAGGCGTTCGGCGAGGCTCCACCCTTATGCTGTCAACGTTCCCAAAACAAGAACAAAGCGATTTGCCTCATCATTCATCATCCGTACAGCTAAGGAATGGAACAACCTGCCGGCGTCCGTCTTTCCGTCCGATTACAACGTAGGCGTCTTCAAGGCAAGAGTGAATAGGTTTTTACTGAGCTAGTGCGCTTACCATCAAAGGCTGCATCGCCACTTAACATCAGGTGGGATGGCAGTCAAGTGCTGGCCAGTTCGAAATAAAAAAAAAAAAAAAAAAACCGTTATAGTTAGACAGTTAAAATTTTCACAGATGCCGTATTTCTGTTGTCGCTATAACAACAAATACAAAAAACAGAAAAAAAAATTGCCGTTTTTGTAGATAATGGTATGGTTCGTGTCAGACTTTCGCTTGGCCGATTTTTGTAGATAAATTAATAAAAACTTTTGGCGCAGCGGCATTCGTAGTAGCGTCTTATTTAATCGCGCTCAGACGTTTTACCAACTAAGCTAACCGGCTGATGACCTCACGGTGTGAAAACCTTGACCTCTACCCACGTTAGTTCCATTGCATTTTTAGCAATCCTTGGCGCATCTAGTGTGCATCCTTTACAGCATACAACACCTTACAAATAACATTCAACGATGGATATTTGTAACTGCAATATTTAAAAATCCACGATATAAGTATTCACATATATAGTTCTAATCTAGTTTATAAGTTTTCCATATTTCCGTGTCTGATGCGTACGGTTGATTCAAAGTGCCGTCAAGTAAAAATCAAAACTGGCGGGGGCACTAACAATATCAGTCCGCGGCAGGTGAGTGTCCCGGACAGGCAATTTGTCCCGCGGGACCCCTCCCCTCCCCCTGCCCTGCGCCCGTTTAGAGCGGCGCCTGTAGCGGCTTACGGAAACGGCTACGTCAACTGCTGTTAAGCGATAGCACCGCTATTAAATATATGCACTAAGGAACAATCCCTACGTTGTCGGAGGTCTCAAAAATACAAAATCACGGACCTTAAGCTACGTCCAGATTTTTTTAATGTGAAAAGTTGCCAAGCTAGCAGACGGTTCACCTGGTGTTAAGTGAATACCGCCGCCCATGGAC